TTACTGGTGAGGTTGGTGGTGTGAGGGGGCGGTGTTTCTGAGGGACCTATACATAGTGGGAAGGGAGTTCCCAGCCTGGTTGTCAGTTGGGACAACGTGAAGTCTGAGAGTTGGTGTTTGTGCAAGGTTTCCAGGAGACTCAGTTCGGATTTGGTGTCATAAAGTTGTTGTGGGTGCGTTTTTTTTAAGTTTGCTGCCATGGAGTTTAGTTCTCCTCGTATCACTGTTTTAGTCTCCACCCAAATCACTGCAGGTGCCATTTGAGGCATGGAGTTTGTCTTAAATTATTCCTTGAGGCTAGTAGAAATCTTCCATATTATGGTTTTGTCCTATAGCAATAGAGGGTTTAGGCGCCAGGACTAGGGCTGAAATAGGTTGGGGATTGTGATGGTTATGGAAACATCCACGTGGTCTGACCACAAGATGCATCCAATGTCTGAATGGATGGGAGACATGCCAGAGTAGAGCTCCGGCTGACTTCACTGCAAAATCAATTAAATTGCCATGGTAGTGAATTAATTTGAATTAATACCTATGCAACCCTGCACCCCCAAGAGATAGATGGGTTGCAAACAGCAAAAATTTACCCACTTGGGAAACTCTAATGTGCCAGACATCCACTGGGCATTTGCAATAGAAACCCAAAAAGGGGAAAAAGAGCGCATACTTACGAATACTAGATCCCAGGTGGAGATTCTATCCCAGCAACTCCTGAGGTTCACTCGCACTGTGACAACTCTAGAAACATGGCACTGCAGGAAGAATGTGCGCATCCGTGGAGTGCCTTAGAGAGTAGACCCTGAGGCCACACTAGAGTTCACCAATAAAGTGGTGAACTCCAAATGCCACAGCAACCCTCCCATGTACCGAATGCTGAACCAACACAAAAATATATATCCCCAAAAGGGATATATAAAAAACGGGGTTATAAAGTACACATGAGGATATACAAGTAGAGTTGAGCGAACCCGGACTGTAAAGTTCGGGTTCGTACCGAATGGGAATGGTAGTACTCAGTTAGTGCAGAGCAGGGATAATGGGAATGGTAGTACTTAGTCAGTGCAGGGATAAAGGGAATGGTAGTACTCAGTGCAGAGCAGGGATAATGGGAATAGCAGTACTCAGTGCAGAGCAGGTATGATGGGAATGGCAGTACTGAGGTAGTGCAGGGATAATGGGAATGGTAGTACTCAGTCAGTGCAGGGATAATGGGAATGGCAGTACTCAGTTAGTGCAGGGATAATGGGAATGGTAGTACTCAGTGCAGAGCAGGGATAATGGGAATGGTAGTACTCAGTCAGTGCAGGGATAATGGGAATGGTAGTAATCAGTGCAGAGCAGGGATAATGGGAATGACAGTACTCAGTTAGGGGGTCCTAAATAACAATGAGAGGAGAGGACCTACTGTTCTCCCCCCTGGCCCCCACCTGTGAGCGGTGGGTGGGGGCCCAAAATAAGAATAATGGGGGGGGACCTACTGTCCTCCCCCCCGATCCCAACCCCTGCGTGGCGGGTGGGGGCCCTACATAACAATGAGGGGGGGACCTACTGTCCTCCCCCGGGTCCCCACCCCTGCATGGCGGGTGGGGGTCCTACATAACAATGAGGGGGGGACCTACTGTCCTCCCCCCTGACCCCCACCCCTGAGCGGTGGGTGGGGGCCCTAAATAAGAATGAGGGGGGACCTACTGTCCTCCCCCAGCCCCCACCCCTGAGCAGTGTGCGGGGGCCCTAAAAAAGATTGAGGAGGACCTACTGTCCTCCCGTCTGGCCCCCACCCCTAAGCGGCGGGTGGGAGCCCTACATAAAAATGAGGGGGGGGACCTACTGTCCTCCCCCCTGGCTCCCATACCTGAGTGGCAGGTGGGGGCCCTAAATTTAGAATTAGGAGGGGGACCTATGGCCCTACCCCCCAGCCCCCACCCCTGAGCGGTGGGTGGGGGCCCTAAGTTAGAATAAGGGGCCAGGACCTAAATAAATATTTAATCCCCCGTCACCCTCCTTCCCCCAAAAAATAACTCCTACCTACCCCCCTCATCCTAAAAATAATGAGGGGGGACCATAAGCTAGATACCTTTAAAAAGAAAATAAAGAAACTTACCATTTGATGTCTTTTTTTCTAAAATCTTCTTTTTTCAGCCCCAAAAAAGGCCAAATAAATATCCATAATAACTAACGGACTTTTTAAAAAAATTTTTAAAAAAATCTAATTTCACCCATGGAGGGCTCCGCGCAGACTGAGCTCTGCAGGGCGGGGTAAGGCTTATAAAGCCTTCCCCCGCCCTGCAATTAGGCTCAGAGCACTCTGATTGGTGGGTTTAAGCCATCCAATCACAGTGCTCTGACAGGTAAATGAAGAGACTGACAGGTAAGTCTCTCCATTTACCTGTCACAGCACTCCTATTGGTTAGCTTGAAATCCACCAATCAGAGTGCTCTGAGTCATTTTACACAGTGTGGGAAAGTTCTTTGGAATTTTCCCACGCTGTGTACTTTGACTCAAAACAACACTCTGATTGGTGGATTGAATGTAACCAGAGAGTTATGAGTCAAATTACACAGCGTGGGAAAATTCCAAAGAACTTTCCCATGCTGTGTAAAATGACACAAAGCACTCTGATTGGCTTAAACCAACCAATCAGAGTGTTCTTATCCTCATTGCAGGGTGGGGCAAGGCTTTATAAGCCTTCCCCCGCCCTGCAGAGCTCAGTCTGCGTGGAGCCCTCCATGGGTGAAAATTGATTATTTTTTTTTGCACTCTGGTTTTTTTTTATTGCAACGGTCATTACAGATTTTTATTTGGCCTTTTATGGGGCTGAAAAAAGAAGATATTAGAAAAAAGAAAACATCAAATGGTAAGTTTTATTTTATTACAGGTATTTAGTTAATGGTCCCCCTCATTATTTTTAGGTTGAGGGGAGTAGTTAGGGTTTATTTTTTTTGGGTGGAGTGGGGTGACTAGGGTTTTGGGGACCCCTAGTCACCTTGGGGGGGGAGGGGGAAGGACAATAGGTCCCTCCCTTATTCTAATTTAGGGCACCCACCCACCACTCAGGGGTGGGGGCCGGGGGGAGGACAATAGGTCCCCCACCCACCGCTCAGGGATGGGGGAGGACCTTAGGTCCTCCCACTCATTGTTATGTAGGGCCCCCCACCTGCCGCACAAGGGGTGGGGGCCGTGGGGGAGGACAATAGGCTCCCCCTCATTATGTAGGGCCCCCACCCACCGCTCAGGGGTGGGGGCCGGGGGGAGGATAGTAGGTCCCCCCTCATTCTTATGTAGGGCCCCCACCCGCCGCGCAGGGGTGGGGGCCAGGGAGGAGGACAATAGGTGTCCCCCCTTATTTTTATTTAGATCCCCCACCCGCCATTCAGGGGTGGGGGTCAATAGGTTTTTTTTCTAATTTTTTTTTTACAGTGGCTGCTAACTGTTTTCTAGACATGCCCCTACTCGCAGTATAGCAAGTAGGGGCTGGATTTACTAATACTAAGTAATTTTTACTTAGTATTAGTAAATGTGGCTGAAAGACCAATTTAGGTCTTTCAGCCTTTTGGCAGATAGCTCCCTAATATCGTGGGAATTAGGGAGTTATCTACTAAGCGGCTGCTTATTTTATGTTATTTTAAGTGATTTCCCTATCCACATTTGTTTAGAGGGCACTTGTCCTACTCTTATCCCCATTTACTTCCTTTTGCATCCCTCTAGCCCTTTCCAGAATTTTTTAGAGGCATTTTAGTGCCCAAAAGTTCGGGTCCCCATTGACTTCAATGGGGTTCAGGTTCGGGGTCAAGTTCGATCCCGAAACCCGGACTTTTTTCCGAAGTTCGGCCGTACCCACCGGACCCGAACATCCAGATGTCCACTCAACTCTATATACAAGGAAATACAACCTTAAGATCAGAGTAGGTTATAAAACCAAATCTAAAAATATAAAGACTAAATAAGGTGAAATACGTAATGTTATCAACAGAGACTCTATTAGGCAAAATAGCTCGAGATGGCTGGTATCTTTCAAAGATGGTCCTCAAAGTATAAAAAAGGGAACAAATAGTGCAATACGTATTTGAAAAAATTTAATTTTAATTAAATTTTGAACTTACACATATAAAGCAACGGCAAGCTTATCTCCACTTGCAGAGGATCAATGAGCAATCCTCCGATCCTTGGAGATGAGGTGCTGATCACTAGACTGCCATACAAATAAATCCAAATACATAAAATGAATAAATGTAAAAGTCAGAAAAAAGCAGCTTATCCAACGCATTGCGTCTCAAAAGACTTCTTCAGGGATATAAGTTTCCTCTTACTTCTCCCGGTTTAAATAGCAGTGAGTTGGAGACTTTCAGGTGCTTTCAATCCGTCGCATGCGTTCCACTGTGGACTGCAGTGTCGGAATCCAGAGTCAATTAGGCTATGTGCGTTCCTCTGTGGAACGCTGGCCAGAACTTCCTATTCCAGTCCATAAATTGGCATAATGTGCATACACACGGGACAAGTGTAGCACTGAATAAAGTCAGTGACAGACAAAAATTCTAAGAACAAAGTTCCTATATATACAGATCATAAACATGAATATACATGATGATGGGGTATCTGTAACTACAGAGACAGAGAATATGATAACATGATAAATAAACATATCTATAAATATATAAATATGGGAGAAAATTGTACTCGTAATGAACTGGCAAAAAAAATATTTTTATTAATAAAATTGTGAAAAAGTAAAAAATAAAAAATATATATACATGGAAAAAAATTAGTATAGAAATAATAATTTGCACATAATGAAATAATTAAAAAAAGGAACCCAATGGATATATAATTGAAGAACTTTAAAAACTGGTGTAAATCAGGATATTGATCTAGTCTGCCTTATTAAAGCCTGCTCCAACTTCCAGTGCTTTTCATATAATAAGTCCAGTATGGCAAAAAACTGCTAACTCCAGCAGGTCTTCTTTCAAACTTTATTTTAATATGCTGTTATATAAAACATCAAGTGCCACACCACCTCCAACTTGTCCAATCCTCTCTGTACAACTGAATGCAGTCCCTTTGAGCTTCGTATCGGTACTCGTGACGTAATAACGTCACGTAACGTGGTTACGCGTTTCACACTGCGGCTCCCTCACTGCGCAAAACGCGTCATCACATTACGTGACGTCATTACGTCACAAGTGCCGAAACGAAGATCCGCCCCCAAAGAATTCCCAAGCACTGACAGCCCGAGGTAACGCTAGTGCCGGCAGCGCATCAAAGGGACTGTATTCAGTTGCACGGAGTGGATTGGAAAAGTTGGAGATGGTGTGGCACGTGATATTATATATCTGCATATTGTAATAAAGTTTGAAAGAATACCTGCTGGAGTTATCAGTTTCTTGTCATACTGGGCTTATTATATGAAGACCTCTGGAAGTTGAAGCAGGCTTTTCCTGCTCCCTGCTTGTGAGTGGATTTCCCATTTTATATATAGATATTACTAATGCATTTACTGTTTTACACTATGTTCTGTTTTTCCTTATGATATAGTATAACATATGAATTTGGAAGACATGCTTACCTATCATTCATGAGAAGTTCCAGTACCTTTTATTTAAAGGGTTAGAGTAAATTTGCCTTCTACTTGCTCACTTGATGCACTTTTGCACAGTGTATATTGCACTTTGGTTATACATATATAAGTAGTATTGTATCTTTGCACAGTGCACTTTTTGATAATTGCACAATTATATTTATCACTTGCACTTTAGTAAAACTAAAATTTTGATAGCCTTGAAGGCATTGCGCACATTTTGGTGCAGCTTCACATTTTATTTAATTATAATTTTATCTTTTGTATACCTTTTAGCACCTTTTTGATTTGCTTTTGAACTTTTTTAGATTTGTGTATATATAACGACCTGATTTGTTGAAAGGGGGACGAAAGGAGATTTGGTAATGTAAGAGTGCGAATGGGTGCTGAAGAGATGTATGCATATCTGTGGGTCAGGCAGTCGCCCTATATCTGAGTTTTAGACTGTTTAGCTGGAGTACCCTACGTTTGTAGTTTTTTATGTAACGTTGGAATATTTGAATCTGTATATTTTTTTTAAATCTGTGGATACCTTGTTATAGCTGAATGTCTTGTAATATTCCACATTTTAAATAAAGAATAAAAAATTAAAATGGCAAACACAAAATGGATGAACAATAGGGAAAAATATGGAAAAATATATTTTTAAGGGAAAACAAAAATATATTAATATAAATTATAATGCAAAAAGTAAAACATAATAACAAAAAAAGTGACTAAGAAAAAAAAAAAAACAAGTGCAAAATGAAGCTATGAGAATAAAGCCAGAGGAAATTGTGTAGATCAAATTCTGCATTTAATTTGTAGGGTTGTAGGGTTTTTAGGTGGTAAACCCAATTCATCTCTTTTTTACCTAATATGTTTTTTTTTTTATATTCCCCCTCTCAAAAGTAGTTTGCATATCTGAATGCCCATAATTTTCAAAAGTTTAGGATGATTATTGTAAATCTCAAAATGCCTCGACACACTGTGAGTCTTTAATCTTTAAACCTTTACTGATTTTTCTACAGTATTCTGCCAGTCTAATTCTAAGACACCTAGTAGTCATGCCTACATACTGGAGGTCACGAGGCCCCTCCAGTATGTAGATAACTTTATTGGTATTACACGTAAACTGGGTCTTTAATTTTATACTTTTCTTTTGTTTTATTTGACATAAATTCAGTTTTTTTTATTTGTTATAGAGCTCAATTAAAAACTCATTTTTATAAACATGATTTCCAGTGGCCAATCACTAAGAGACATCTGAAAATGTCACTGAAATGTTATATTATGTGCATTTTAATGATGAAAATAGCGATTTAGCAGTGACCATGTGACCTCAGCCACAATAACCATTCTAACCACTATTTAAATGTGTACTTAAAGCTGTATTAACCATTTTATTTATTATGTCTTCATGTTATATTTATTAAATATGTGTGTGACCTCAATTAAAGTCAAAGGTCACACATGACACCATTTTGGCGCCAATTTGTTCAATGTTATAATTGTTAAACTTTATATATACCCATGTATGCCAGACTTCTGCTGTTTACACTTGAAAAAGCCTTTTGTTTGGCGAAACACGCTGTTTATTTTAATATTGTTTTTACCATTAAAGTATATTTTGCTTTCACCTATCTTTTGTCATACCTTTTATTGCACATTTTATGCTTTTATTATTTTTTAGATGTACTTTCGGACGAATTTTGTGTAATGTGGACATTAGGGTGATTCTGAAGTGCCGAAGTTCTGTATTTCGGAAGTGTCGAACTGAACCGAAAAGCCAAAGTCCTGAATTGCCGAAGTCCCAAACTGGATTTCTGAAAAGTGGCAAAACAATAGAGAGAGGGAAAATGATGTGAATGATGACAGGAACCTTGACCAATAAGCTAATTCCTGGCACTGGGAGCACTATAGATATGTAAGTGGTTGTGGTGGCAATCCTGGCACTGGGAGCCCTATCAATGTGTAAGTGGTTGTGGTGGTTAGGGTTAGAGGTAGGGTTAGGGGTAGGTCAGGGTTAGGGGAAGGGTTATTGTTAGGGTTAGGGTTACAAAGCCCTACAGATGTTCCAAATTCTGAAGTCCCAAATCGCCGAAGTCCCGAATTGCCGAAGTCTCGAATTGCCGAAGTCTCGAATTGCCGAAGTCTCGAATTGCCGAAGTTCTATTTCAGAAGTGCCAAACCGAACTGATTGCCATTGGTCCAAATTACTTACCTGAATTTCCAAACCTAATTTTTGCCCATGCACATCTCTATTTTATTTTTAACTTTTTGTTGTTCCACAACCATACTCCTGAAGAATCCGAATAAAAACAGGGGGATATGTGCACCGCTTCAGTAATCCTTGACAAGGTATATGTGGAGAGAACTGGAGAAGAAATGATAGTGTAGTATTTTAAAACTGTAGTTCTGATAGATAAGATAAAAGATGTGCACTCACACTTTCCTGGAGCTTCAATACAGCTCAATTGTATGTGCCTGGGTGGAATAATCCCCGCCTAGGGATCAAGTGCAGGGGTAATTCTTTGAATTATAGGTGTGGTAGGGGGTATCCTCATAAAAAATAAACAAATAAAAATCATATATGGTGAAGCATGTAGAGCTATGAAGCAAGGGTAGGTAAAAACTATAAAATGTACACTCACATGTAATGGAGCCGTAAAACCTGGCTCCTCTGATAGCACTTGAAGTGGTATGATCCCCACTCAAGGATACAGGTGTAAATATAAATTCTTCCATCCATGTATATGTGGAGATAAACAAACAGAACCACAATAGTGTACACCGTAAAAAGGAGTGTAATCAGAAATAAATTAAGCCTACTCACATGATAAAGAACAAGTTCTGGTTTGCTCAATCCAAAATGCTTGGGTGGTATAATCCCCACCAGGTATATAGCTCCAAACAATCCAACAGCAGCAAATATAAATTCTTCAATCCGTGGATATGTGGAGATAAACAGAAACACAATAGTGTACACTGTAAAAAGGAGTGTAATCAGAAATAAGTTAAACCTACTCACATGATAAAGAACAAGTTCTGGTTTGCTCAATCCAAAGTGCTTGAGTGGTATAATCCCCACCAGGTATATAGCTCCAAACAATCCAACAGCAGCAAAATTAGGTCCAATTAAAAAAGTACTTTAATATTAAAAAATAATAAAAGCAATACAATATATAATAAAATAAAATAGTGATACAAAACTTATAAACAATACGCTTAACATGTTTCCCCTTGGATAAAGCCTATCTACCTTACTCTATGCCTAATCCCTGGCAAGGATTATTTTCTGGAGAATCCTACACTACATTATATCCCAGGTGGTGATCATTTGTCCCAAGCGCTATCGTCTGAGCAGTGTTTCTGCTCTATTAAATGTGAGTAATCTACTATAATTTCTACCTGTTTTTGATTGTATCACAGTAAGTACTATTGTTTGTTTTTATGTGTTTCCTTTTGTATACATCTGGGTGCTGAGAGACTAACTTTCAGGAGCTATATATCCATCAGTGGGGATTGTAACAATGTTGTTTAGCCTTACACATAGTACTTGACCATCTGCACTATTATTAGTTATTTTCTGTTTCATTGCATATTTCTACCACCAACTGAAGACTGGACAAATTCTAGTCAGGAATTTCCAAAGAACTCTCTGCCCTTATTAGACTTATTATACTCGGTATTTTATGTTTTTTATTCTTCTGTTTTCTTTACAATAAAGAGTTGAGGGTATCCCTTAAATTCAGCATTTGCAGCCTATTTCTTTGCACATATAAGTTGATGCCCCAGTGCTTATTCTACGTTGTGTGTTTGCAGCACTAACTGTCACCATTAGTTTTACGCTAGTATGCATGAAGCTAGCATATTCCACTCAGAATTTGTGTGAGTGCAACTGTGACAGGAGCTAGGCTAGAGACTTTTTCTTTTTACTTAACCATACATTTCCCTAAAAAGAAGAGTTTCTCTCAACAAACAGTAGACATAAAAACATCAAAAAAAACTTTTAAAACTGTAAAATGGTGATTCAAATTTGATGTTAAGTGACAGTGGCTAGTAGTAGATGCAGAACTAACCATAACACTGTCTGTATTTACAGCAGTAAATTTAAACCTAGACTCACACAATGATCAATGACTAAGAGGCTATCTCCCACCTCTACACAAGCACAGCAAGGGAAAAACACGTATAATATAATAAAATGCACATAATATTACTGTTGGCCATAATATTATTGCTGGCCTGTTTCTTTCAATAGCTGCAGTCTAAGGAGAGCTCTGCTTCGAAGTATATATTGTTTTACCGCTTCTCTTTGTTTCCCTTTAAAGGTCAGTTGTCACTTGATCTGTGAAGTCAAAGCTCTTTTTGTGCCCCCACTAACAAAACCATTTCTTCTCAATTCCAATACCATTAAGGTTGTTCCCTAACACCCAATCATCTTTTGTTTTCCACCTCTTGGTTGGACAGTTGATACAGTCTACAATATTATGAAGACCTCCTGTAATGGCAGGCTCCACTAGGAAAAAAAAGTCTTCTTCTCCATTTCAATCCTCCTCTTTCTGGCTTCAGGAATGATTTTCTGAATTACAAATCAATTACAATTACAATTACAAAATGTATGTGCATTGTGCAAGATATTGTTTTATGATTAGTCAATATAATGATTCAGAAATCTGG